TGGATCCACACACAAAAGGCCCCGTATAGCAACAGTGATCCTGAGAAAGAACAAAAAGTTGGAGGAATCATGCTGCATAATAAGAAATTATACTGTAAGGGCACAGTAATCAAAAGAGCATGGTACTGGCATAAAACAGACACATAGATCAATGGAACAGAATAGAAAGCCCAGAAACAAACACACGCTGTAATAGTCAATTAATATTTGACAGAGGAAGCAAGCACATACAATGGGCTAAAGACATTTAAAAAATTTTTTTCCTCTCTCCCCTTAATTCCCCTCGATGCTACATTGCCCCACCCTGCAGCATTCGCTCCCCCACCCCCACCCCCACCAGCTTAGTTCATGTCCAAGGGTTATACATATAAGTTCTTTGGCTTCTCCATTTCCTATACTTTCCTTACCCAACCTCTCCCTCCCTATTTTGTACCAACTATTTATGCTTCTTATTCTCTGTACCTTTTTTCCCATTCTTCCCCCTCCTCCTGCCCTCTGTTTTACTGTTCATAGTTTTTGATCTTCTTTTTCTTAGATAAGTCCCTGTAATATTTCATATAATAAGGGCTTGGTGATGATGAACTCCTCTAACTTTACCTTGTCTGGAAAGCACTTTATCTGTCTTTCCATTCTAAATGATAACTTTGGGCTAAATGATACAGTGGGTAGAGTAATCTTGGATGTAGGTCCTTGCTTTTCATGATTTCGAAAACTTGCTGGTTCCTTTTTGCCTTCAAGGTTTCTTTTGAGAAATCAGCCGACAGTCTTATGGGAACTCCTTTGTAGGTAACTCTCTCCTTTTCTCTTGGTGCTTTTAAGATTCTGTCCTTATCTCTAATATTGGGTATCTTAATTATGATGGCCTTGGTGTGTGCTTCCTTGGGTCCAACTTCCTTGGGACTCCCTGAGCTTCCTGAATCTCTTGGAAGTCTACTCCCTTGGCCAGAGTGGGGAAATTCTCCTTCATTATTTTTTCAAATAAACTTTTAATTTCTTGCTCTTCCTCTTCTCCTTCTGGCACCCCTATCATTCAGATGTTGGAACGTTTAAAGGTGTCCCAGAGGTCCCTAAGCCTCTCCTCATTCTTTTAAAATTCTTGTTTCTCCATCCTGTTCCAGTTGAAAGTTTATCTCTTCCTTCTGCTCCAAATTGTTGATTTGAGTCCTGGTTTCTTTCCCTTTACTGCTGGTTCCCTGTGTATTTTCCTTTATTTCACTTTGCATAGCCTTCACTTTTTCCTCCATTTTGCAACCATACTCAACCAATTCAGTGAGCATCCAGATCACCAGTGTTTTGAACTCTGCATCTGATAGGTTGGCTATCTGTTCATTGCTTAGTACTATTCTGGGGGCTTTGATCTCTTCTTTCATTTGGGCCATATTTCTTTGTCTCAGCATGCCTGTTATGTTGGAAGGGGTGGAGACTTAGGTATTTGCCAGGGCTGGGCAACCCAGGTCTCTGAGTTGTAATGCTGTCTGTGGGTAAGGGGTCCGAGAGGGACTAATGCTGCTTGCTTGGCTGTCAGCCAGCTCTCCGTCACTTCCCCTGCTACCCACAAGCAAATTGGGCCCTTCTGGTGCTTATTCCCAGGTGGGTGGGTTTCTGTATATCCTAGGACCTGATGGGTCTCTCCAACAGATTCTCCTGTGAGGCTGGGAGTTTTTCCTGCCACCACAACCCCCACAGGTTTTTACCTCTAGGGGTTTTGAGGCTTTCCTTTCCTGCACTGAAACCCTGGATTGCCCAGTCTGTCTTGCTCTCCAGCTGTTTCTCTAGTTTATTCATCTGCAAATGTGGGGCCACCCAGTCTGCCAGACGCCATCTTACTCTCCTGGTCCTCCCGCTGCCGCCTTGCCGTGCATCCTCTCTGCTCCAGCTGCCTGTCTCTGTCCGTCCTACTGGTCTGGATGAATGTTTACTTTTTAGTTCCCTGGTTGTTGGACTTCCATACAGTTTGATTTTCTGGCAGTTATGGTTATATTTTGTTTTTAAATTTGCTGTTGTCCTCCTTTTGTTTGTGCAAGGACGCAAAGTGTATCTACCTACGCCTCCATCTTGGCGAGAAGTCCTGTTTATCTTTTCAAAGAACCAGCTCTTGGAGTCATTGATGTTTTGTATCATTTTTTTAGACTATATTTTGTTTATTTCTTCTCTGATATTTATTGTTTTCTTCCTTCTACTTACATTGGACTTTGTTCTTTTTTAAGTTCCTTTAAATGTGAAGTCAGATTGTTTATTTGAGTTTTTTCTTGTTTTTTTGAGATAGGCCTATAATGCTATGAATTTTCCTCTTAGGATTGTTTTCCCAGTGTCCCACAGATTTTGGAGAGTTAGGTCTTCATTTTCAAGGTATTTTCTTATTTCTTCCTTGATCTCATTGACCTCATCATTATTTAATAACCTGTTATTTAGCTTCCATATCTTTATATATTTTTCAGTGTTCTTCTTGTGACTGATTTCTAGTTTCATAGCATTGTGGTCAGAGAAGATGCTTGATATGATTTCAGTCTTCCTAAATTTATTGAGACTTCGTTTTGTGTCCTAACGTGGTGTATCCTTGAAAATGTTCCATGTGTGCTTGAAAAGTATATTCTGCTGTTTTGGGGTAAAATGCTCTGAATATACCAATTTGGTCTAGAGTGTCATTTAAGCTGCTATTTCCTTGTTGATTTTCCTGTATGGAAGATTTATCTATCTGTTGAAATCAATGGGGTGTTAAAACCCCTGACTATGACTGTGTTTCTGTTGATCTTTCCCTTTATGTCCATCAAGATTTGCTTCACATGTTTAGGTCCTCCAATGTTGGGTATGTAAATGTTTACTAGGGTTATATCCTCTTGTTGGATTATTCCCTTTATCACTATGTAGTGTCCTTCATAGATTCGTACTGTAGCCTTGGTTTTGAAGTCTGTTTTGTTAATATAAGTACTGCTACCCCAGCATTTTTTTCCTCTTTCCATTGGCATGAAATATCTTTTTCCATCCCTTTAGTTTTCATCTGTGTGTAACCTTCAATCTGAGATGGGTCTCTTGGACATAGCATATATATGGGTCTTGTTTTCTTATCCATTCAGCCACCCTATGTCTTTTGGTTGTGGTATTTAAGCCATTTACATTTAAGGTGATTATTTATAGACACATATTTAGTGCCATTTTATTGTTGGATTATTTTCTTCTGTTTTTTTTTCCTTCTCTTTTTCTTCTTTTTAAAGCAAGCCCTTTTACATTTGTTGCAGCATTAGTTTGGTTTTAACAAATTCGTTTAGCTATTTCTTGTCTCAGAATGCTCCTTTAGGTTATTTCTCCTAAATTGATACTAAATGATTTTACCCAGTCTTGCTGGGTAAAGTAACCTTGGTTGTAAGTCTTTACTTTTCATCACCTTGAATATTTCACACCACTCCCTCTTGGCCTGAAATATTTCTGTTGAGTAATCAGGTGACAGTCTAATTGGTGCTCCCTTGTTTATAACTACCTGCTTTTCTCTTGCAGCTTTTAGTATTCTCTTCTTGTCTTTAAACTTCTTCATTTTAACTGTGATGTGTCTCATTGTAGGCCTCTTTGGATCCAATTTGTTTGGGACTTTCTGAGCTTTCTGGACTTGTGTGTCTTTTTCCATCACCAGATTAGGGAAGTTTTCAGTCATTATTTCTTCAAATAGGTTTTTAATGAATATCCAGTTGATCTGACCATCGTTTTCTCATTGTCAAATAGGCTATTTTCTTAAACCAATTCTGAGATTCCCCTACTCAAAATCCTTCAGTGTTTTCCTATTGCACTTAGAATGAATATACACCTGTTACCATGGCTCCTTAGCTGCATTCACTTGTTTCTCTGCTTCCATTCTCAGTGTCCTCTTTTTCTCCTCTCCACTGTCAACACCCTGGCCTCCTTACTGTTCCTTGGTCATCAAGTGCGTTATTGTATCAGGCTCTTGCTTGTGGGGGTTTCTTCTGCCCAGAGAGCGCTTTCTCCATATCTTAGCCTGAAACACTCCTCATGTCACTCAAATGTCTGCTCAAATGTCCTTTCCTTGGGAAGTACCACTACCCCCCCTATATAAGATTGAGAATTAATAATATGTAAAAGTACTTTGAACATGAACATAATATTACTAATTGTCCTTCTCGCCTACAATAGTGTGATTCCCTGAAATAAAGGATTGTCGTCCTATTTTCCTTTTGTAGATCTTATTTGCAACTTAATACATTAGAATTCAAATAAGACCGTAAGTATGAAGCATTTGATAATTTACTGTTTTCCCTATTTTGCCTACATTTGCCTAAGATAATTCAGGTCCTGATACAAATATTTAATAATTTGATAAGCTGTGGTGGAACATCAACTCTTCATACTTTTTAAAAAGGGAGTAGTGTACAGCACTATAACTTGAAACTTATAAACTTACTTTAACTGCTTTACATGGAAACACTGCATAGGCTAAGTAAGCCCAAATGAATTTTTTATCTGTAGCTAAAGAATTTAGACATTTTTCAGTGACATTATATATCTCATCTAGCAGTAACATTAATTACATTTAAATTTTATAAAGTTACATTTTTTTTTCTAAGCATTCTACAGTCTGGATTTAGTGATTCTCATTGACCTGGTTCCTATTATTTGGGGCTATTTGGGGCTACATGCATATGCAAATTTGGGTTTGGAGGCAAGAGCTAGACCAAGCTTTCACTTGTTTATTTGTTCTTTCTTTGTCCAAGGCATTTAGTTCCATCATTGATTACATTTAGTTTGCTTTTTCTAAAGCCTTATGCTAATGTCTGACACACACAATTCTTTTATTTATGAATATGCCAAGCTTGCATATTCATGATATAGCTTTGAGTTTCTTTTAAAAACATTTTTGCCATTACCTGGTCAGTCTTACAACCTTCAGCCCCTCTATTGCCTGGACATCTTGTTATTAGATATGCTATCCATTAAAACAAGACATGCCTACAATTTATTTTTTAACAAACTGTTTTTTCTCTATTTCTTGATAGCTACTGCTTCTTGGGATACATTTCTTATGCTATGGAATTTCAGGCCACAAGCTAGAGCTTTCAGATACGTGGGTCACAAGGATGTTGTAACCAGCGTGCAGTTTTCTCCACTTGGAAACTTATTGGCGTCTGCTTCACGGGACAGAACTGTTAGACTCTGGATTCCTGATAAGTAAGAGAAACAAACACCTGATATGCTCTGGATTTAGAAATGTGGAAGAAAACGGGAGCCCGGCTGCTCCTGAGGTACTTCTCAGGAAGGCCCAAACGCCCCAGTTACCTGCTCTACGCTTAGTCTGAGTCACTCAAGAGGTGTCAAATCAAACTGTTTTCAAGTACTTTTTTCTCATCTGTAACTCGTAATTATGTCTTCTATTTGAGAACTCTTTCTAACCATGGAAATATGCTTAATATGTTTTAAGTTACTGGGTGACGGTGATAGTTATCAATCCCTTAGTAAATCTGAAGTAAGCTTTAGATTGTCTACCAGTGAGATACACATTGGCATGTTTAACCAAAAATTGTTCAATTCATTAATCTCCTGAAGCCCATTCATAGATCTTTAGGGACCTTTGGATCCCCATGAAAAAAAAAACCTGTGCCAGGACTATTTTTTTGATGCATATCATTCATTATTAGGCCCCAGAACATTCTTGTTAAAGAAAATTTCTGACAAAAGTGTAAGTTATTGTATTTGTTGTAAGGTCCTATTCCAACAGATCTTTCCATAAGACACTTCTCAAACCCTAGTTTGTAGCTCATCTATTTTAAGCAGTTATTGAACCATGAATTTAAGTTTTTAAACTATTAATTATGCAATTATTAAAATATACTTGAAAAGGGAATGAATGGCACAGCAATTCCCCCACACCATGCACTGAACAGATTCAATAGTTATCAGTGCTCTGTCAGCCTTGTTTCATCTATCTCCCCTCCTTTTTTACTACAGTATTCTTTCGAACAAATCCCACACATTATATCATTTCCCCCTATAAATACTTCAGAGAATAAGAATTTGAGCACTTCCTAGGACTGTGTTGTGGCAGGATTTGATTGGTGGCATGCAACTGAGCAGGCTCTCCCGGCGAAGGAAAGTTCGCAGGGCATTTCCCTGACACCACCCAAGGGAAACTCTGTGCTGAAAAGTCTGAGCATAACCCTGATGGCAGCAAAAACTATTGAAGAGAAGTGACATGTGTTATGATAAGAGAGAGGGGAATTGTAAGGGGGAGAGACTGGTGTGGGGCTTAAAAGGGACAGCATTTTCTAAAATCCTTAATTTTAGGAATTTAGGACCAGCACCACACAGCCTCGGTCACCCATTTCTAATTCAACGAAACCTCAGTGAACAAACTATACAGGGGTACATGAGCTAAAAGCAAACGGAATCATTAATCTGCACTGGCTAATCTAAATACAGCAATTAAGATGTGTAGATGTCTCTTGTTCCTCTTTTTAAATCATATAATGGGGCCAAGGCAATAGTGGATGATGATAATGGGAAGGAAACTCATGTATCAAGTTCTCTATCACCGTCTAACAATCTTTAAAACATAGTAGCTTAATACAGTAACTATCATTTCTCACAATTCTGTGGGTTGTTTCACTGATTCTTTGGTGTTGGCTATCACTTCTGCAGCTTCATTAAGCTGACAACAGGGCTGCTGGGTTTAAAACCTCATTCATATGCCAAGGGCCTTGGTGCTGGCTGTCAGCCAGAGCACCTTCGTACTCCATGCGCCATCTCTCCAGCAGGCTAGGACTTCCACATAGCATGGCAGCCAGCTTCTAGGACAGTAAAAGTAGAAGCTGCTAGACCTTTAAAGGGCCGGGCCTGAAACTTGCACAGTGTCGCTTCCGCCCCCACTATGTTGGTCAGTGTAATTCACAACACGAGCCCAGATTCAAAGGGAGGAAAAATCGGCAGATGCCACATCCTGTTGGGAGGAGTGGCATGTGTGTACAGGGATGGGAGGAATTGGGGGCAGTTTTATGTTCGGACAGACACCTCAGCAGGTGACTGGAAGGCTAAGAAAGAATAGTGGAAGCAGATCTGGCCTGGATTTTGTCATGGTCAGCAATCAAGAGAATTTGGGCAGAAAGGACAGGTAAATATATAGGAGGCAGAGCGCCTACATTAAGGTGAGGTGAAGAACTCATTAAGCACTGACACAACAAACACAAGGCACTCCTATCTTGGTTTTTTTTTTTTTCCTTTGTGTGTTGTGTGCTTTTTTTACACATGCTTCCTGTTGAGACTGGACCCAGCGGGTAGGCCAGCCTATGGCTCAGAGGAGGGCCTTTTAGAAAGAGGGCAAGCAGGACAGCCTGCTGGAGTGTGCAGTGTAGAACTAAAGAGCAGGCCAGATTTCAATGATACTGACTGTCTCTTGGTTTCCTGGTGATAGCAGATGCCAGCGCTTTTTTTTGTTTTCTCTAGGTCTTATACCAGAATTCAGGCCAAACTGTATTCTGACCTCTACTCATAGAACTTTCCCTTGGAACCTCACTGAACTAGTCCCTGAATGCTCTCTCCTATTTTTTAAAAATATTTATTTTAGTTATTCTTGGTGTAATATCATATATCAGGTGATGGAAATTTATGACAGTCACCTTAGCCTTCTCTAGGCCACCGGATTGGTAAGCTGGGATGGATCTAAGAACCTTTAAGTATTGGTCTTCCCAGTGGAATTCAACAAAATGCATGAGTTCATTTTGTGTACCTGACATTGTGCTAGAATTTGGTCATAGAGAGATGAATAAATAAATCATTGTCCCTGTCCTCAAAAGTTATTGTTTAATAGAGAAACAGGTCTATTTTTTTTTTAAAGTACTGCATAATGTAGTAAGCAAAATAGATGTAGTAGACGGGGAGCAATTCAGCCTGTCTGGGCTGGTCAAGGATGTCGGGGAGTAGAGGAAGTCGTTCAGACTGAGAAAGTCAGTATAAAGCCTGAGATGCATCTGAAGCACTGTGACCCCTCTCAGAGTACAAAGTTCAGTGTAGGTGGCAGAACGCCCTGCCGCAGAGCTTGTTTGTTGTGCCGTTTTTTGGAGGACATCCAGTGACATGTTTACACTGGGATCTACATGCTTGAGTTACACTTTTAGCAAGGTATTAAGCACAGTATGTGGGTGACTAGAGGGGCATAAAAGATTAGAGCAGGGAGACCAGCTAAGAGGCTTTTGCTATAATCTAGGTGAAGGATATTGAGGGTGTATCTCATAGTTCAGTGCAACTGTAGCTGATATAGAAGGAAGTGACAGCAATATCACTGTCACCCAGCAGGTGTGTTGACCTATTGAGCACGGAAGAGAGGCTGGGGGAGCGGTTGAGTGTGACTTCCAGACTTCTGCAAATTCTGTTGTCTGATTTTTTTTCAAAAAGTTGTGGCCGTTTTCCTCATAAGATATCACCTGTATAGATACGACTTTCTGAATGGAAAAATTGCTAAGTGTGGATGTAGTATAAAGAGAAAGTGCCTTGGGAACTTGGGAACGCTGACCCAAAGTGGTAGTTCCTAAGTGTCACCTTTTAACTCTAGCTGTAGCTACTAACCTGCTCCTAATTATTTAACTTTTTTTTTTTCTGCAGCTTCTCTTTAAATGCCACATGTTATTTTTTCCATCTGTTTTTTCTATTCTCTTTTTCCCACTCTAGCCAAGAAAAAATTTCATCTGAAATTTCAAGGTGTTGAGAACTGAAGTACTATGTTGTTACTGCTTATCTTTTGTTTTGTTTGTGAGTGTAAGATTGGGCCTAGTGAGCAAAAACTTCCATACAACCCACAGGTCTCAGTTCTCATTACTTGTGGGTGGAAATAGGAAAGTCAGGATCACCTAGGGACATTCTGTATAGAGGCAAATGACTCAGGGGACATTTCCTCCTTCCCAACCCAGACTGTCAGTCCATACAACTTACATGTGACCCCAGTTTGAAAATGTTGCCTTGGAACTATTCATTTAATCAATCTGAGCTTTTCTAAGTTGCAGGTTCTTTAAAGTATATATTGCTATTTCCAGTGGAACAACAGGAACTTAAAATGCGTGGCAGAGATTTGCTTGAAATATTTTTTCCCTAGCTTCCAATGAAAACATAAAGAGCAAATGCATTTCAGGGTAGGGACTACCAGGGCCTTTCTTATTAAATATCAGTTGTGACTTTGACAAAAGCAGCTTGAAGCAGTATTGATGAAGAGTACAGTACAACACATTTTCACACTTTTGTTATTTTTACACGAGTTAAGCTGTTTTATTATATGTTTCAGAGTCTGTACTCTGATTAGCTCTTGATTATGATTAAATCAAACATTATAAATATTATACTGTTTATTTCCAGGAGAGGGAAATCCTCTGAATTTAAAGCTCATACAGCTCCAGTTCGAAGTGTGGACTTTTCAGCTGATGGCCAGTTTCTGGCTACAGCCTCTGAAGACAAATCCATCAAAGTATGGAACATGTATCGCCAGCGCTTCTTATATTCCTTGTACCGACATACACACTGGGTACGCTGTGCCAAGTAAGTGCAAAAAGTTTCATAATAAGAGTTTCACATTTTTCCCCTGCCATAGTCTGTGTTTGTCCTCCAAATCCCAGAAAAGGAGTTTGTTTCTTCATTCATTCATTCGTTCATTCATTCAGCAAACATTTATTGTGTGTCCATGAATCCAACAGTGATGAGAACAGTGGTAAACAAAATAGTAAAAACCCCCTGCTGTCATGAAGCTTACACTCTAGAGAGGGGAGAGAGGCAATAAACAAATAGGAAAACGGATTATGGTAGGTCAGATGGTGGTACATTTCAGGGGAAAAAACAGAGCTGGATTAAAAGGGGAGCTGAAATTTTAAAGTTCGTTAAACTGTCTTCACAAAGAGATTAGCTTCTGAACGAAGCCTTCAGGAGAAGGAGTGAGGCTTGAAGATCCTTTCCCAAGTATCTTCAAGCCTCACTTGAAGTTCTTAGATAGAGGAAGCAAGTACGAAATCCCTGAGGCTGGAGCCTGGGGGCTGATCGAGGACAAATAAGGAGGCAAGTAGGGGCAGAACTCTGGGAGGGAATGGAAGACACCCACAGGGAGGTCAGGCCAGGCTGGGAGCATCTCTGATGTACACCTTGAGTGAGATGAGATGCTACCGGACCATGTTTCGTTTCTGACTTACATTTGAATGGGATCACTTGGAGTGCTACACGAAGAAGAGGCTGTCAAACGTCAGGGCTGAAAGCAGGGAGGTGTTGGGTGGCTGTTGCAGGAGATCCCACCCTGGCCTGGACCATCCCAGGCCATGGTACTAGAGGTTTTGAGAAGCAGCTAGATTCTAGATATGGTAGTTTGAAGTTACAACCGACAGTACTTGCTGTCACATTGGATGTGACAGAGAGAGAGGAACCAAGAAAGACTCCATAATCCTGGCAACATTCTGATGGGAGAAGTGCTGCTTTGTAGGTGTTATTAACTGTCAGCTAAGAGCCCTGGCACCCTTTTCATTCCTAAGACATGCTGCGAACATGCTTCAAGTGCGTGTCTCGTTTCCCCCTCAGAACTGCCCGGGAAGAGCTGTTGTTTGTTTTCCCTGCTGTGCAGATGGGGAGACTGAGATTCAGAGTTCAAGTTAAACTTGTATAATTGAAAGTAACAGAAACAGAAAGAAATACGTTTACTGCTCTCAAAGTAAGCTCTCAAGGCGGTTTCTTGGCTGAGGTGTTTGATAAGCTTGGAGTGGGAAGGAAAAGGACTAGAACCAGGGACTCCAGCACTCTCAGGCCTCTCTCTAGGCATCTCTATATGCTGGCTCCATTCCCTCAAACCCTGGTACTGAGGTCACTGTCAGCTCTACGCTGAGGTCCTCACAGCTTTGTGACCAGACTTCTCTTAACTTTTCCTAGCTCTAGTTAGAAAAAAACATACTGGGGCGTGACTCTCAGCTCAGGCCCTTTGCCCAGCATCTTTACCCAGCAGTGAGATACTGTGGTTATGTCAGTTTAGCCAGACACCTGACTGAGACCAGTTAACCTGGCCAGGCAGGCGGGGTCATTCCATTCACAGGTTCTGGTGGTGGAGAGAGAGGACAGCTTTCGCTGGAAGTGGGCTGGTACAGACATGGTCACTGGGGAAAAGTGAAAGCTGAACCCTGCGGCCACTCGGCTTTTTGTCCCCTGTATGAAACAACTGAGGTGACTGCAGCTGAGATGTGGTGGAGTGAGCCCAGGGCCGTCTGTCTCGCCTTATAACCCACACTCTGAACCCTTGTTATGCTCTCTCAATGGGACATTATTGCCCAGGGGATGTTGATTATAATCTATGGGAATGAATCGGAGAAAAATAAAAAAGGTAAACAGATAGCCATACTTTTAATAAGCAGTTTTTTTTTTTCTTCTAAAGATATCAGCTGCTTTTGGCTTTGGTCATCTCATCAGTTTTCCTATATGTGCTGTATAGCCGTGTGATAAATGAGGTGGACCTGGAACCTGAATGTATAGGTACAAGTCCCAGTCCCACCGCTTACCATCTGTGTGACCTTTGAAAAAGTTACCTAACTTCTCAGTGTTTCAGTTTTCTTACCTGTAAAATTAGGATGATGATAATAGTTACCTGCCACATAGGTTGTCATGGTAGTTAATTAAATGAGTAAATATATAGAAAGCATGTACATAGTAATCACAAGAAAAATCTTAGCCATCTCTTCCTCATCATCATTGGACACATTTTTATCTCATTTTTGAAGACACTTTGTTACTTGAGTTGCTGATTTGTTTTCCATCTAAGGAGGTCCCAAGAAGCTGGTCAAATCACTTATTTGTTTTATAATAATAAATACATTATTACTTATGTGTCAATAGTAAGAAGGGGAGTCAGAACTCTATCTTCTAGTAGGTCAGGCCGAGAGGACAGATAGGCAGCTAGACCAGGTACTGGGAATAGTTACTTAATTCCCACTATGTGTCAGTTGTGAATATATTTGGAAAGGAGACTGATTTTTTAGTATCTTCACTGGAGAGCTCAACATAAGCAAAAACATTGAATATTGGTTTAACTAATCAAGACAGAATATTTCCTATACACTCTGACTAATAATGCATAAATAGCTATTGTTTATCTAGTTTGTCTTACATGCCTTTATATCCTTCCAAGAAGAATTTAAGGTGGTTTATAATTGTCATACCTGTGTACATATCAGTTGTGGGAGAGAATGAGAAGACAGTTTTACCTAGAGCCGCGTCACCTTGGTTAGCACAAATTGGGCATATGTTTAACTTGTTTCTTCAGCTGCAGTATTTTTTTTTAAGGATTTTATTTAGTTATTTTTAGAGAGAGGGCAAGGGAGGGAGAAAGAGAAGGAAAGAAACATCAGTGTATGGTTGCCTCTTGTGCTCCCCCTATTGGGACCTGGCCTGACAACCCAGGCATATGCTCTAGACTGGGAATCGAACCAGTGACCCTTTGGTTCGTAGGCCGGCACTCAGTCCACCGAGCCACACCAGCCAGGCCTCTGCAGCTGTGGTATTAATGGAATGATAGTGACTGACATGTTTTCATTTTTTAACAAAAAGGAATCCTATCAAGTTGTTCAGATAACAGAACATTTTTCCTGGTATAAATTTTAGAAGGCACTTTATCCCTTGCTTTTGTATTGAATCACCTGTATATAATATAAATGTGAAGAGAAGGTAACAATATAATACATAAGAATTTATGAAAGGTTGAAAGATTACCAATGAAGTGAAATTTTGGTCTTCTAAATAAACCTTTAGTAAGCTCAGTACCTGTTTACCACATACCTGTGTTAGGTGAAGAGCTGAAAGACACAGTATTTGCCTCAGAGCTTTTGTAGTTCAAAGGGGAAAAAAATCAAATAATTAAAAAAAGATGTATCCAATGAGAAAATGATACACAAAATAATAAGGGAGTCTCTGAGTGGGAACTCTCTCTCTGAGGAAAAGTCAAGGAAGACATTGCAGGCCCAGAACTGAGGAAAGGGAAGGGGAAGAGGAAGCAGCAACGTATTATCAGATGGGAAGGGTGGTAAACTGTTCCATGGAGGTAATCAGCAGGAGGAAGCTCTGTAGCCTGTGCTCTGGAAACATTGATTATTTATCTGTGGCCAGACATAGGAGGTAAAGTGGGACAAGGTCAGAGAGGAAGCTGGAAAGGCTCAGGGTCACTGGGTGATATGGAAAGATTTTAGACTTCATCCTACAGGTAATATGAAGACACTGTAAGGATGGGAATTGGAAAGAAACATGATAATTTCTGCATTCTTCTTTACTAACTGCATGGCTCTGCAGTTAGAGAGCTGGCATGAGATAGTCCATGTGAAGGTTCGCGTGCCTACTTGTACCACCTCATTGCCATTGAGCAAGATAGTTTATGGCTCTCAGCCCTTGTGGAAAGTGAGGCTTCTCCAAGTGGACTGTTGTGAGGATAAGAAATACAGGTTGACCATGTTTGGGATTGAGTGATGCCAGAAGACTGCCTGCCATTCTTTCTGCTGGGCACCGTTAGTTAGGGAGAAACTTGGGGATGGGGAGGAGCCACTGCAAATGTCGTTCTCCCTATTGGTTCACAAGAAGACAGTGATGGTGGGACTGTGCACATCTGTTTGCCTAGCATCCACTCCCCATTATATGGCGATGGTGCCTGAGCTTTCCCTGAGGAACCAGCCCTCCCCCACGGCCCTTCCATGTGCTATACACGCACTGGGTTGGTTCTGTCTCCAGTTCCAGCAGCAGACATTCAGCTCAGGCTTGCCATCCGGAGCAACCCATCCCCCTCCTCTAGGAGTTAGTGAGTCTTGTTGGAACTGCAGCACTTTCCTCTGGGATTGCTCCCCGTAGGCTTATTTAAGCCTAGTAACTGCTGAGGGACACCATAGGCAAAGAACCGACCTGAGAATGATGCTGATTCCAAGCAGAGCAGAGCTGCGAGGTAAAGACAGAGTGAACTGCTGTCTAAGTACATGGCATCGTTTCTGGATACAGCTGTACCTGGAATTATTAGCATGTGTGTGTAAGGGGTATGGGAGTGAGGAGTGGAGGAGAGACATGAGCTTTAAAATTTCTTTTTGCTTTTTTTAAGGCACTTGCCATAGGAAGTGATAGTGGAGCAGAGTTTTTGTAAGATTGGGAGTTATCCTCCCATGCAGTCGTATGCCCTCAAGACACCTGCCTTGTCTCCATCCCAACGTCACTGCCTTAATTTTTAGCAACACTGGCCCTTGTAGACACTTCGGCAATAACCTCCTAAATGTCCTCCCTGACTACAGATTGGCCTTCATTCAACCTTTTCCTTCACTTCTCTATTGCCTCCAAAGCGACCTTCCCGAAATGCAAATCTGATCATGCTGCTCCTCAGCTTAAAGCACTCAGTGACCTGGCCCAGCAAGTTGCTCTGCATTCCCATTACAGCCTCACCTTTTGTCTCTCTCGCTCTTCACCTTGTTACAGCTGCCCAGGTGTGTGAGGCTCTGTTGTGATCTGTGCCTTTCCACATGCTGTTGGCCACCCTCCCTTCGCCGTCCTGC